CCTGACAGGGTTTCTCTGTGTAGTTTTGGTGCCTGTCCTGGAACTCACTCTGTAGACCAAGCTGGCCTTGAACTCACAGAGATCCTTTTGGCTCTGCCTCCAGAGTGCTGGGATTAAAGGTGTGCGCCACCACCGCCACCCGGAACACCCAGCACTTTTATCTCAGCACTCAAGGCAGAGTCAGGCGGATCTTGGACTATACAGTGAGCTCCACTCCAGGACAGCTAGGGCTATGTCGATACCTTGTCTCAAAAAACCAAAACCCAACCAAACAACAAACAAAAAACTCAAAAGGACAAAAACAAACAAAACAAAACCAACCAACCAAACAAACAAAAAAAAAAAAACAAACCTCAAAACAGAAACAAAACAAAACAAAAACCAGCCAACCAACCACCATAACAAAAAACCAAAAACAAACAAAGAACCCTATAATGTTGCTTAATGTGTGTCATTAGAAGCCTGTAATCCAGAATCTGGAGGCTGAGGCTAGAGAATGAGCTCAAGGTAAATCTGAGCAACACAGTGAGACCATCTTGAAAAACAAACACATCCTATATTCTGAGTACAGACTTTGAAAAGTAATAAATACATCTTTTCCCCCCTTAGTCATTTCCCACACTCTAAAGGGTATTTTTCTCATGGCAAAGTCACACACACACACACACACACACACACACACACACACACACACACACACAATCCTATTATCGGAATAAGTTAAAATTATGTTTTTCCATTTAAAAGACTAAGAGCCTTGAATTAAGATGTATCTTCTATTTTAATTCAGAGATTAGGATGCACATACAAACCCCACTTCCCTCCTTACCATCCGGGTCCTCAGCAGGCTGAATGCTCATGTAAGGCTCTCCTTTCTCCATGCGAGACTGTCTCTGTCGACTCTCTTCCTCTAATGCAGCTTCTGCACGGCTTTTTGCATTAATATATGCAAGGTATGCAGGGGAATTATGATAGGCCTTCATAGATTCATTGTACTCTATCTGCAATGGAAAGGGGTGTCGGTTTTATTGGCCATCTGAATGTCCGAGGCACGAGGCAAAGTGGTATCGGCAGAGCCGTCTCTCTTTCTGAACAGAGAGCATGAGGTTCAGACGGCGGGGACTGGAGCTTGGTGGACGACAAAACTTCAGTGCTACCTCAGCTTCCTGGTCAAATCTTATGTTTCTTTCATAAATAATAAAATGTTTTATTTATATTTAAAATATTTTATTTATCCCCCTACCTTTTCTGCTTCGTATTCATTTAAATATTCTTGTTTCTCTTCATCAGTGAGATCTCGCCACATGCCACCAATAATCTTGCCAATCTCCCACAACTTTAGGTCAGGGTTGGAAGCCTTTACTTGGTCCCAGACCTTAAAAGTCAAGAGTTGAAAATTCAATATTAATGCCTAAGTATATAGTCATTTAAAAATACTCCAACATGGAAACCTTTAAACACAAACAAAAGCAGAGAAGACAGTTTCAAACTACTATTACCAATCAGCCTGCTTCAAAACTGCCAGTAGCTGGCTTATCTCATTTCATCTTTACCCTGCTGGACCTCATACACCATGTCATTTTACTCATAAATACTTCAAACTGATAATTTAAGATCATTAATCACAGTACACACTTACAGCAAATTAACCAAACAATTAAGACTATGTCTCTAACAGTTCAAGCGAATTTAGTAGTAGTAGTAGTTAGTGTATTTGTATTATACAATGGTATCACACTATCAAACACATATATAATAATTATGATCAAGACAATATTTTACTATACTCACTAGTTAATTCATTTTGTGCTCTTAGAATTGATCCTAAGGGCTCTTACAAGTAGGCTAGGCAAATGTTTTACTACTGAACTACATCCCAGACTTATTATTTTTAATAAAAATAATATATCAATATATACAGTCTTACATTTTCCTTTCTACTTAACATTTTTCTCATGTCTTTCAAATATTCTCCAAAAGATATTACTTTTATGGCTCCAGACTAATCTGTTTAAAAGATTTTAATAATTTATTTAACCATGCTCTTCTTGGATCTGAGTTTTAAAAGTCTGAAATCAGAATGAACCACTTAAAAAAATTACAAGTTTTTTAATCCTTCCCCCAAATATGTGTAAGAGAGATGCCAAGCCAGTCTGAAGTGGCATGTAAGGCCAGTCAGCAGAGCCGGGGTCCTCGCCATCTTCTGGTCCCTGGTACACACCTTTCTGCTGTACCTCATGTAGGGCATCAGCGGCTTATCTGGTGGCTTTGGAGGCTTTGGAATCGTAATACCAGAGGATGCCTGTAAAAGAGTTAAATATATTCATTATTCAATTGCAAGGAGTTCACTAGCACCTGAAAAGAAAGTCCCTTAAAAATTCTAGTGCGCCTTTCTTCTACTCGTCCATGGATACAAGATCCTTATATTTTCTCCAAAGAAAACAGATATCACTGCAAATTCAGAAATGTTTATATAAAAAGAAAATGACTTTAAACACATAATATTTAATGCTTTACTTAGTAGTTTATTTCCACTGTTTGACAACCTGGCTGCAAGAATAAAATATTATACAGAATCCACACACTGAAAATGGGGTTATATGCCAAACACCTCACATTTAGGACATTACCTGGTATCCTTTTATTTGCTCAGTTAATATTATGCATATAGTCAACATTTAGTATCTGTAGACTCTGAGCACTTAGCACTTACCATACACGTACTGTCTACAGGGGAATCTTGTTATCATGTCAGGAATGTACTCCATACAAACAACAAAGACCACTTCCCAGGTTAAAAAAAAAATCACCAGTAAAAAACAGGAGGTAACTAGAAATCTAGCAAATAAATTTAAAAAGAAAAGAAAGTATGTCCTTTAGAAATAGAAATTTATTTTTCTTAAGGTTTTACATTAATTTGTAGTTCTCTGTCTTATGTCTTTGTAGTCTTGGGGTCAGGATGTGCAAACTGGAGTCCGACTGTTCCTGTCCTCATCAGACTGCCACACAGAAATAAACAGGCGTTAGGTGCTGAGCACTGGCAGACCCTGGGCCTTGCTTGTGTTACTTCGGAGGCCCATTCCACAACATTGTTTTTGTGGAAAAGAAAGGAGGACAAGGAAAGACAGGACAGAGAAAAAGGAAAAGACAAGAAAAAGGAATAACATCTTTTCAAAAAGGCAGTGAGGAAGTTGGTGAGAGAAAAGGTAAAGGAGGAAGCAGCAGTGTTCAGTGACTGGTCCTGGCTGTGTGAGGAGACAGAGGCAAGGCGACACCAGGTGACTTCGCGGATGCCCCACAGAGAGCTGCCACTTCAAGGGCACCTGGGTCTGAACTTCTCTATCTCCTCTTCATATCACTGCTTTGATGAAGGAGTCAGAATAAGAAGAAGTAACACAGTCCACCGCACTTGGCTCTGACGTTGCGGGGAAACCTGACACCGACTGCCAGAATGGGGAGAGAACTGCTTGCTTCCCTCCAATTATCAACACACACACTGGCCAGTCCTCGCTGCTCTGACCCACAGACAGATCTGGGCTTAGCCAGTAGTGGGCACTGGAATGAAGTGAGAAGTGTGGGCAGAAACTGTCACAGTGGGTACAGTGGACAATCAGGGAAGCGGGCATCACGGTTCACAGGAGCCCTAAGAAGTCAGTCCTGTGTGACTAACCTTATGCGTGGAAAGTCTGCTTCTCAACACAGAACGTGATTAGAAAACATTTTTTAACCCAGACCCCAAACGAACTTTTGGAACACAAAGTGGGTTACAAAAAAAAAAAAAAAAAAAAAAAAAAAAAAAAAAGACAAGGTTGTACCCATATTTGAAGGTACCAAAATACTATTAACAGGTAAAAATTTTTAACATGTTTACTTTTCAAACTTTAAGTATGAATTTAAACAGCTAAAAAACAAAGTTTATTAATATTTGCTTGTATCTTCCAAAGAATCACATTTTAGAACATTAATAGATTTGCTAACTCCTTCTTTCCCTAAGAAAGTTACCCAAATAAAATTACAAATAAAAAACGAAACAAAACAACAACACAAAACAACACATCCCCCATTCCCTAAGAATAAAAGAGAAATTCCAGATGGTTTGGGGATCCTAAAGAAGCTTATCACCACACACCACCAATTCTCAACATCTCAGTCACCTCCGTGAATGTCTCAAACGGTTTTCTACTCTGCCCTGCGCACTCTATCTCACCCTTTCTTACCGAGAGTCAACTAGAACCGACCCAAGGGAGGTCCTGAGGGAGAGAAACTGCGACCGGCTCTTTGGCTGAGTGGCCCGGGGCCACAACTGGAGCGCTCAGTGTGGCCTTGCCCGTCAGGAGGACCTTTCCCTGCTGCTCTCAGGAAGCCCCGCCCCCTCCCCCCCAGCACCCATTCCCCATCTTCCCAATTTCTCTCTTCCCATCTGCAATGAATTGGAGGTGGAGAAGCAAATGTATGCTTGTTAAAACTGTTCTTCTCTAAGAGTTAGGTCCTAGTCAATCTGAGGACAAAGTCCATGATTTTGTGATCGATTCATCTTGGATAGCACAACAGAATTTTCTGTTGTTTCTCAATTCTTAGCTGTTTCTCTGGTAAGATCTTATTTAATGATTTTCTTCTAGAGATAGGATTTCTATAAGCAAGAAGTAGGCTGCTTTTAACTTTGTCTCAATCTGTGTATGAACCTGTATATTAGGGAATGTGAACCATCATCTGAACAAAGTGATCAGTTGTGGGCTGCACTCAAAGCTGTCCTAAGCCCTCCAAAGGTCTCAATATGGTACCTAAGCACTTTATTATCTGAAAACAACCCATATGTAACAAAGATCTTACTTGGGGTTTCACTGAACCATTGCACCAAATCACTATGGCTATTTATAGACAACAATTTACTCAACATTCTTCACAAAGTAGTGCATCACTGGGGTCATTCTCTACAAACACATTTTATAAGCAACCAAGTCCCAAAACAAGAAGTCAGGGATACGAGAGAGGGCAAACCCCTAGGTTTCTAGCAGTTTGCTCACGATAGGGACGAGAGGACAATAATACAGAGGAAACAACCACAAAGCAAACACCAAACTTCTCACTCCTAACCCACTGCCCTACACTGAAGGCTAGAGCTCACTCTGCACTCAGTTCTTCTGTTCCCCAGGAGGGAAGAGGTTGAAAACACAGGACCAGCCTAGGCCCAGAAAGGAGTACACTCTCCTTTTACTAGTAAGGTTTCGACCAGAGAAGCCTCACGGCTATATACAAATTAAGAACTGATTGTTTATACAAACCGCAAACCAAGTTATTCTAGGATCACAGTGACCCGTTCCATTAGCATGGCCACCACGAGCTCACTGTATGGAGCTATTCAGAGTCATCGTTCTTAGTTACTGCCCATAAGTAAATTTCTACATTAACACAAATGATCCAAAACTAATTCTGCCTACTGTGTGAATTATAATGTTCTTTTTCATCTGATAACCCTGCCACTCATCACACTTGTGAAACAACACATTTAGGCCAGGGAAAAACATGTACTACTGCACATAGAAACTATGTGCAAGGCACAACACACACATAAACATAAATTTTGTCAGAATCCTTTTCAGATACTGTGAAATACGTATGGCACATAGAACTTGATATGCTTATGAAGTACAAATTATGCAGAAACAATGAAAAATTTAGACAAACGAAACCTATCAAGCTAAGCAATGTGCTTATCAAGATAGACACACGGTTTGATAGTGACGGGTTTTCAGCTATAGCTTTACTACAGGGTGAGAGGGCTTGTTTTGAGTTACATTTCTTCTTTATAAATACAGCAAATGAAAACCAGTTACTAAAAAGTTTACAGCCATTCTGTTTTGTATATATTCTTACCAACACCACACTCTAATGTAGGTATTTGACTTTTGGATTTATTACCTTAATTTCCTTGGAGTTTAAAATAATTTTTAGGAATCCTCTTTCTCACAAGGGATTGGAAATGGACCTCTAGTTGTTCTTATGTAACACCTAGAGTTAATTCCATTCAAGTTTTATTATGAAATTCCTTGGGGTTGACAGTAAAATCTCTTTTCCTGTATTAAACTGGAAAGAAACAAGTCTCCGATAGGTCAATTACTAAATCCAAAAGACAAATAACTGAGTGTGGAAGTTTGGATGGGCAGGTCTGCCCAAAGCTTTCTAGTCCAGATGAAGCCAGGTCTAGAGGCCCAGCATTCTTTAAGAAACTACATCCTTGAGAGTAAGGCCAGTTACCTTAAACAATGAAAGACACTCTTCATGACATAAAATATTTTAACCAAAAGAATTCTAGTTTTGTTTACATATATCGTATGAGCATTAAGTGTTCAAGGATTAATCCCTACTGATCACCAAACAGAATGGATTTCTTTTCTTCCAAGTACACATCCAGACTGTAGTTCTGTTTTTTTTTTTTTTTTTTTTTTTCCAGTGTAAGACTGTACAAAACAGTTGAAACATCAGGTTGAATTTTTTTAAATGGCTGTGCTTCTGATTCAAGAGGACCTAACTCTGGAGGCATTTCTGGTCAATCCCAGTTGTTTGCCGGAGGCTGTAATAGTTGATTCTCCTACCGTGACCCGGCTGTTGGTGCCCGGGTTCCCTCCCAGCCTGTAGTTGTTGTAGGCGAGATGACTGTATGGATTGTATCCCACAAACCCTGGTGTGCTGGGCATTTGCTGATGGAAACAAATGAGACAAAAACACGAATGAGAAATGAGCTCAAACGAGGAAAACACAGAAATGAAAAATGATCTGCATATGGCATGCAAAAGCAACCTGAATTTAAACAAGCAATGATGGGTTGTAACTGTTTTCTGTTGTTGTTGAGGAATTTAGTTTGTCTTTTTTTAAATTGAGAAACCAGCCTGCAAGTATGTATGTGCATGCATGTGTGTGGGAGTCTGTGTATGTTTCTTCTCTCTCCCTCTTTTCCTTGGTGGGGGTTAGGGATGCTTGTGGGACTGAGTATGCTGTGTGTTGTTTCTGAGGAAAGCATCCCACTGCAGTTTCAAACATCTACAACTATTTCATGGTCAACAGTATGAGATAACAATTTGGCAATCTGTGATGTCTGAGATGGGAAAGCTGCAAGTATGATAAACTTTAAGTCTGAAACACTACATGCAAACGAAACATGATTTATTTGACAGTTATGTGGATGCCACCAATGTACTCATTTACTCAAAACAAAAACAAGAAATGGATCTGCTTTTCAAAGACAGCTTTCAATCATTTTCTATGTGACGAATGAGAAGAGACTCAAGTCAGGAAGCCAGGAATTGTCAATAGGAAAGAACATATGCTGGATTCAATGGATGCCACATGCATGATTTCAAACAAGGACTTGTAAGAAATGCATAGGTTTCATACTGGGCACTATCTGATCTTTAACCCAGTCAGTCTTTCACAGGCTTTCTCTTCCATCTCTTCTTCGATCCATCTTCCTTAGGTAATCATGAACAGTTTATGCATTTAATTTTAATGAGAACTACTTTTTTTAGTTGACAGACTTGAACTTCTTTTTCATCTGATTTCCTGAAGGCTCTCAGCCTTTCCAAATACAACTGCTCACTGCAGTGAAAAAATTCTTGATTTTTGTGAATTATGTGTTGATATAAATCACAAATTGGTTCTTATGTAATTGTGGCCTTATGGTTAATATAATGACATCCAATGTTCATAAAATCAAGGCATAATGCATAAAAAGAATGCAGTAAAGAGACCAAACGTGTCTAGTTTACTTAGTAAAACTCAATCCTGACAAGTGATAGCAATGCCATTTTTCATGCAGTTAACATAGCTCTCCTGAATTATACAAAAGGACACTTGACACATCCCCGCTAAACTTAGGTTGTCACAAAATGCCATTTCCTAAAACCCTTGTACATGCCCTTGTAAACATCCTTAGTATCCAAAGACATTCAAGCAGGCAGCACATGTGATACTTTTTAGAGGAGAATAAAGTGATCAATTATAGCCCGTAGTTAGAAAAGACGCAAATTAAGCATATTTAAGTAGCAAAACACAGATGAAAGAGTAAAGGCACAAAAGAAGTGTGCATTACACATGGAGGGGGTGGTTCATCTGAGTGGTGGCTGTGGACGGGGTGGTGGTGGTGACGGTGGCAAAAACAATGGAGTAAAAAAAGTGAGAGACTACCTCATATTGATCCATTCTGCTAGATGTTATAATCCCTAGTTTCTGGATTTTGTGTGAAAATGTGAAATTATGGTATGAGGGATAAAAAACAACCCCCTTCTTTGTATGAAAACTCAGAAGGGGATCCTGGTTTCTAAAATGCCTTTATCTCAAAAATAATAGCAAGTCTGTTCATTGCACACTGCTGGAGGCAGTATTTATATGAAATGATACCTCCAAACACTGCCTAAAGAATGAGAGTCACAGGTTCAATATGAAACAATAATGTAAGCAAACAGGGGAATTAAAAAATTGAAACTAGCTCATTGTAATTATACCATTTCTAACGTTGAGGGGCCTAGTTATATCTTTGAGGTGAGGCTCTTAATCACTCAACTCAATCTGTACACAACCATGAAGATATGATGGAGATGGTGATAAGAAATATTCTTTAAGAAAGAAAATGAAGCACAAGACTTTAGAGTCTAGAGGAAGCAACTTTACAGACTGTCAATCACATGGAGTGAACTGAAGAATGTATGGTATGTCTTTAAAAAGAGCATCTAAGGAGAAACAAATGCTGATAACTATAACTAAAACATTCGCCTATGGGTTAGTAAATCAGACTAGTTACCTAGTGGAGAAAACAAATGACACAGGAACTCATTAGTAGTAATAAAAGGAGACTAGACTGAAATTAGTTGTAGAGGGCATAGAAGGAAGCGCTAGCAGATATTAAAGAACTAATTTTGGGCTGGGCATGCTGATAATCCCAGCATTTGGGAGGCCGAGGCAGAAGGATCACCATTTCGAAGCCAGCCTGGGTTACATAGAGACCCTGTCTCAAAACAAAACAAAAGAAATCAAAATAACAACCCTGAATCTGATTTTGTAGGATATGATTATGTTAAGTGGGCTTTTTTTTTTTTTTTTAATGGTAAGAAAGCCATTTCAGCATTTCAACATGGCCTATACAGCTGCTGTTAAATCTGAATTGTAGACTGGACCATTATTTTACAAGCTGATCAAGCTGGGCTAGAGCTTGCTGGGTGAAAACAGTTCCCACCATTAGATACTTTGAAACAGATCAGTTGGCCAATCATTAAAATTTATGGAGAAGAACAAAATTCAGTAGCAAGTTCTGACCCACAGGTAATGAAATCCTTATTTGAGCAGCTTGAAAATAAGATTTATGATGAGTGCAGTTATCTTCAGAACTAGAAAGTTTATTTAATGTGAAAATTTTATATATAGACAAGAAAGTTTAATTAAACAATTTGTGTTGCTGGGGTTCCAACCTGGGCCTTGCACATGCTAGGTGAGGGCTCTGCCCCTCAGCTATGTTCCTAGCCATTAGTGAGAGAAAAATGGAACCAGGTGAAGGTCAGGTTTACAAACAACAACTACAAGAGAACACTGCCAAGGGAGCACTTCACTCAACTGGAAGATCTAACAGGGACATCGAGACGAGTGTGTCACTCGCTTCCCTGCGGAAAACCAGCTCTGGAGCTTGGAAGCTCACAGTATGTAGTTTCAGATGTTGGGTTTGGTTCAAGGTAGGATGGAAAGAATTATTTTATTTAGTAGGAAGTGCTTATTTTTAGCTGAATTTTCTATCTTGTGGCTGTGATGACTGAGTGACTGTCACTGGAAGACATCTGGGTTTTTGTATCAAGGCCAGACTTGGCTATTACATTAACAAGAAAATTAAAACTTACTGTTGCAGGAGCTGGGGTGGGAGGTGGGGCATAAGATGGTCTTTCTGTTTGAAAGAAAATAAATAACTTCTTGTAAACAACTGAGATATAATACTATGCAACAAAACTACCAATGGTCCTGTTTTGAAGAAAAAAAAATGAGAGTATTTTTGGAATTCCCATTTGCTAGGGCATTAGTCTCGTATTAACACAGATTGATAAATATAAAAATTGAAACTTACTTGACATTTTGGAAGATTAAGTTCTCAGTTCCTTAAGAATGAATCTGAGACACTAAAATAAAAAAAAAGAAAAAAAAGAAAAAAAAAGAGAATCAAAACTCAGCAAGCATAAGAGAATGTTTTCCTAAAGAATAGGGTAGTTTGATTGGTATTTCTGAGCAAAATTACTTCACTGTTAATTGCTAATAATCAAGCCTTTTGCATATTTTTAACTAGTTCTTATAGTCATTTGACTGATCAGAATTAAATGATGAAAATAAGTTACTGGGAAATTTAGAGTTATATTAGAGATGGATTTTAAGTTTTTGCTTATGATATTGAGCCACGTCTTGTATGGAAAACATTTTGCTGATGCCATGCAAACGTTTACTTAGACTGGTAAAAAAAAATAATGACAATAGAATGGGATGTATTATCAGGGTGACCCCAACAAGGCCTACCAGATACTGACAAATCCCTGATCAGCAGCTCTGTTTTCTTTAGGGGACATCTTTTATTAAACAGAGCAATGTCTTATTTATGGAAGCAGTATGAAAGGTAATTTGGTATGGTACCAAACTTTATACTCTCTTTTATTGGTAAATAGTTTCATAAGTGCTGGAACCAATTTTCAGAGTCTACTTGGAGGACTCTCATTGGTCCTTTACGGCCCATTTCAGAAAATATTTCAGGTACTTTCTTCATAAATTATCTGGGCAGAATAACTGCATCTCCTCTGTATCCCTATCTGGTTACAAAGATCAACGGCATTTTCCCTTACACAACATGCCAATATGGCTAGGTTTTGTCTTGAAAGAGAGGAGGGATGGTCTAATTTATTACTGTATTGCTCAAACCTAGCTCAAGTCTTCATAAACTTGGTGCTAGTATGACCAGCTCACAACACGGACAGATGTGAGCTCGCTCCTTACTTACTCAACACACACCACAAATGGTAATGTATAAAGAGATGGAAAATTATTTTCAGAAAGAAGGTAAGTAAACTGTGACTACTGGAGTACTTTCATCCCACACTACGTAAAACAAACACCTTTTTCCTTCCAGTTTTCATTTTAAGGAAATGCCTCACCTCATCAGGGTAAGAGTTCTGATGTGGAAACAGCTTAGTTTTTTCAACCCAGGCCTCTTCCTTCCCTTCCATCAACACCCAGTAGGCCTTGCTGTGGGGAGCCCCGACAGAAACTGTAACAAGGTCCCTGGCACCTTACACTTCACGGCTAATACTGTCAAATGATGGCTCTCCTGTGCTAAGGATATAAACCCTGAAGAGTGGACCTAACCCCAGTGCCTGGCAGGGACCTCAGTGTCTGTTGAATAATTACCTTACAAGGGAAGGCTTATTAGGCTACCTGGCTCACGAGTCACAACGACCCTACCGGAGACATGCGGCTGTCCCCGTTTTACACACGAAGAAACAGTCTCAGGGCGATTAAGATATAAAGTGTTTAAAGCCACAGGCCCAGAACTGCCAGAGGTGGGTTTAAACCCAACCCACGCCGTCTCAGAGTCCACTCCTCACTCCAGGCCACCCCGGGAGTCTTTAGATCGCTGCCTGAACCCCAAAAGGGAACCACCTTCCGGGTGGGTGAGGACCCCCCGCTGGTCTGGCCCGGAGGGCTTCCCGAGGTCCTCTCTCTAAGTTTGGGGCGGAGGGTGAGCTTTCCTGGCAACTCCCCCGCAGGGGGGTGTGCATCGGTGCTCGGCCAGCGTCGGGGGTCCGGCGTAAAGGGACAAGCGGCGCCTCGGAGGAGCTGTCCCGGATGGGGCTTCCTGGCGACCCCGCCGCCGCTAGGCCTCACCGAGGCCGCACCGGCCCTCGTTCCCGCCTCGGAGCTGAGCCGGATCCCCAGCACCCCGCGGGAACTCGGGGTCCCGGCAAACCGAAACAGCACAGCTCGCCACCCTCCCCGACCGGGTCGGGCCCACTCGAAAACACTCACCCGCGGGCCGAAAAGGCGCCCGCAGCTCCGGCTTCGCTTCCCTTTGTCCCGCGCTCGCCCCGCCCCTCGCGCCGGAGCTTCCGCGCTCGCACTTTCCACACGCTGCGGGATTTCTCCGCGGGCCGCGGCCGGCTCTCCTTAGACGAACAGCCCTTCCAGCGAAGACGCGGAGAGGCTTATTGCAGCCGAGGATTTTTTTTTCTTCTCCCCAGGCTCCGCAGTTTTTCTCAGAAGTCTTCCAATTTGGATCCTGTCCCAGCCGGGCGCCGATTCGTCACGGCGAGGAGGGCGGAGAAGGCCAGGCCGCGTTGCGGGCCCCGGTTCGCGGCCGGGCCGCAGGAACTGCGTTGGGAGCGCGGCGGGGCTGCACCGAGGCGGTGGGTGCCGCCGTGTGAGACCCGCGCCGGGCGACGGCACGCCGGAGCCTCTCCCGGGAGAGGGCGGGACGCAGCTCCCGCACCCCGCGCACCCCGGGCGCTTCCCTTCGCTGTGGTCCTCAGTCCGCCGCTGCAGGATGCAGGATGCAGGATGGAGGCGGGGAGGACTCGGGTCCCCGCGTTTAGGTCCTTGCCAGCGCCCAGCAGGGCTCCCTGCCTCAACAGCCTCAGCGAAAAGCAACACGGGAGATTTTTGTAGTTTCCTAGAGGCTGAGTGATGGCGACGGGTTTCTGAGCCTAGGGTCCGCAGATGTCAGCTCCCTCTCACCAGGTCCTGTACCTGTGGCAATTTACATTTCCTTCCAGGAGAACCAATTCAGTTTAGCCTCGCCTGTCTTCAAATAGCCAGCTCAACTGTTTCTTTGTGATGCCCTCCTGGAACTTTTCCTAGGCCAATCTTTTCCTTGGCTCTCTGTGGTCCTGTGTCTTGATACCCTCTGTATGGGACTGGGCCATCTGTAATCTTGAAAAGATTTCATCCCAAACATTCCAACCATTAGATAAGATGGCCAGATGTCCCCCAGTCTAGCACACACCTATTTCTGTTTTACAGATACTGCTAGACAAATAGACAGATACTGCTAGATACTGTCGGCCAATCAGGGTCCTGAACCCTGGAAATCCCTCATCCCAGCCTCTGCTATGAAGAAAACTATCCTGCCTGAGTTCAAGGCTCTTTGCTCTCACCACTGCATTGGACTGCATTGGACAGACAGACCAAGCTTGGAGCTTGAAAATAAAGGCTTTTGCTTTTACATGTGGGATTCAGTCTCCGTGGTGGTCTTTTGGGGGGTCCCCGAGATCTGGGCATAACGTGTAGAGGCATCTTTCTGGACCATTCCAAGGCTGGTTGTATTACTAATTCCAAATACTTGGGCGGACCATCTGAAGTATAGAGACACCTGGCTAAGGTGGTCATGGTGGAGGAAAAGTGAACAGATGACCTGTGCTTATCTAAGGACACTGTTGGCATTTAGAGAAACTGGTTGAATTCTGGGGCCTCCCGTTGGCCCGTATCCTGGTTGTGACAACAGGAAGTGGGATCTCTTTAGAAGTCTGCAGAGCCAGGGATAAGTGATAACACTGTCCAGTTCTTCCATCGCCCGACATTTTCATACTCATGAGTAGAAATAACGAAGTGGAAGGGCACATTGAAAGGAAAGACCAAACGAGAGTTTGTTGGATGAATGGGCAGCATGAGGGAATGTATCCCGAACTGGATTTTAACACAAAAAGCAGAGAGAATGTGGGATCCACAGAGCCACAGCAGGGATCCCAGAACCCTCTTCCTCTGGCTAAGCCTCTTAATCTGACCTGCTCAACAACTCCAGCCTTGTTTCTTCCCTGCTTGTGTGTCTGTGTGTGTGTGTGTCTGTTTGTGTCTATGTTGTGTGTGTGTGTGTGTATGTTGTGTGTGTGTGTGTGTGTGTGTGTGTGTGTGTCACATAACTATATAGACATACTGCTCAGGCCATTTTGTGTCCCTATTATATGATTTCAGAGCTGACCATTCGGGATTGGATAACCACTTAAGGGGGTTCATCCCTGGGGAGGACTTTCTCTTGCTCTCAGTGTTCCTACAGGTTGCCTGTTGTTCATTGTCTAGCGGGTGGAGATATTTGATATCTCGAACACAATGAATGATATATTTAGATGCTTATTAAATCTGTGAAATGAATGGATGATGATCTCATTATCCTCCTTTGGTTCTTCCTCTATTCCTTAAGATCTCAAAAACGTAGAGAGGGGGCTGTCAAGATGGCTTTAGCTGGTAAAGGCGCCTGCTTCGTAGCTTGATGACCTGAGTTCGAGCCTCAGGAGCCACCCAGATGGAAGGAGAGCACCAACCCCTACAAGTTGTCCTGTGACCTCCACATGCTCCGTGTGATTCCACATGCAGACAGAATAAGTAAATGTAATAACTTACCACATGCATACAGTCGATACAAAATCAAAATTTTAAATAAATAATTTGTTTTTAAACCTTTGCATAAAAGTCATTTCTTTTTCTTTAGACATCACTGGTACTTCAAAGACTGTCATGACAGAACAGCACAAGTTGGGTGACTTACCAGGAAGGAGTAATTTTTCCTGAACCAATTGAATTGAAAATAGCTATTGTGCTTTGAACTATGGCTTAGTCATTGTCAGTTATAATTTCCCTCACAAGTTCTTCCCTTCCAGAGACAGTTTTCACTGAAGTAGAATCGGACATCTGAGTAGGCCTTGCCAGATGTTTCAGTGTGCATATCATTTCGAGAAACCGTGAGGCAGCAGGGGAGGCCGCAATTAGAAGTGAGCGTCGCCTTCTCTTTGTCTTCAAGTGTGAACCTGAGGCCTGGAGCCAGAGCGATCCCTCCTCTCACATGGCTGATCAAAGGCAGAGCTGCAGCTAGGAGCCTACACTTGTTAGTAACTGGAATTACTCTTTATTTTTGTATTTTGTTATGAACTCGTACATTTGAAATATTTTCAGGAGATGGAGGAATATTCATTTCTATTCCTCTATAGGAGAGCATAGTATTATTTTGTACAGTTGCTGTGAGGATTATAAATGATCTGCTGACCACAGTGCCTGGAGTCCTGTAAGAACTTTGCAAATAATGCTGTCCACCATTATACTTTTTCCAGAATTATAGGGTTTTATAATTATGGTTATGATGTGTGTGTGTGTGTGTGTGTGTGTGTGTGTGTGTGTGTGTGTGTGTGTGATATCACTACGTAGTTCAGGCTGGGCCCTAGAACTAAAAATCTTCCTGCCTCTGCCTTCCAAGTGCTGGGATTACAAGTGAATGTGGTTTTTTCCCCTTCCTCAAGTGAGCTAGCTTTTTGTCGCTTATCCATGTACAGACATCTTTGAAGTAAGAGAGCTCAAATACAAGGAGGCCTTAGAGGTCATGTGTGGTGATATTTTGTTGTATTCTAATAAAATTTGCCTGAAGATCAGAGGACAGAGTCAGCTACTAGATTAAACATAGAGGTCAGGTGGTGGTGAAGATCTGTCTGGATCTCTGTGAGTTCAAAGCCACCTTGGACTACAGGAGATTAATCCAGTCTAAAAGAAACAGAGCCAGGCAATGGTGGCACACACCTTTAATCCCAGCACTTGAGATCTCATGCCTTTGCTACCAGTATTTGGGAAGCACACACGCCATTAATCCCAGCAGTAGGAAGGCTGAGACAGTAAGTGATACAGCTGGGTGGAGAAAGGCATATAAGTGTGAGGAGACAGGAACTGAGGCCCTTCCAGCTGAGGACTCAGGGGCATTCAGTCAGAGGATTCGTGGAGTTGGCAAGGTGAGAACAGGCTGTGGCTTGTTCCTTTGATTTTTCAGCATTTACTCCAGCATCTGGCTCTGTTTTTTTATTGTAAGACCATTTAGAATTCATGCAACAGTCATGTTTCAAAAATTTTTTTTTATTATAGCGGTATCATTTACTTTGGTAAATTCATATTCCGATTTTAAAATGCTTTGAAGCAAACAAAAATCATTTACAAATTCAAGTACTGCATATTATACACACAGGATAGCTGCGTAATGGAATTTCTCTAGCAAGCTGTTAATTCACAATGCCCAGTACTAACAGTACTGCAGTAGATTACACTAGATGTATTGCTTTACCCTAATCATTGTTGCATAGAACAGTAACCAGTACAACAGCTTATATGATTGCATTTCAAAGCTTTAATAAAGTTGTAGCATTTAATGATGAATGAAACTTTTCCCTTTTTTCCCATGAGGTCCAAACCCAGGGCCTCCTGTGTGCTAGGTGAAGCTCTGGCACCGTGCTGTGCCTCCAGCCCCCCAGAAACATTTTTATGTATAGGGCGCAAGTTTGGGACAGATGCTTATGCAAGAATAAGCGCTTAATATGCTGCTGTATCCTTGACAGAACAGCATCATTCCTCTTCACTAAATAGAGTGAGTCAGGCTAAAAGGAACCCGAGGTAATAGAAAGAAAAAGGCAAATGTTAAAATCCCTGTATTATATTAAAAGTTCCTTAACATAATTTCCTTGTGGCTAAAGCATATTTACTGGTCAACATATATATATATATATATATATATATATATATATATATATATATATACATACACACACACACACACACACACACACACACACACACACCTGTGGAGAGAGGACGGGAGGGAGGGGTTGATTTTTGAAGGCTGCACTAATGCTAGCATAGCCATAGCCCTTATGATGTTTCAGCTGGAAACAAAGAACAGTGGTTTGTACTCCTTTTTGTTGTTGTTTAGAGAAAAAAAAGCCTATAACCACCTAGTGTCTTTTTTTTTTTTTTTTTTTTTTTTTTGGTTTTTTTCGAGACAGGGTTTCTCTGTGTAGCTTTGCGCCTTTCCTGGAGCTCACTTGGTAGCCCAGGCTGGCCTCGAACTCACAAAGATCCGCCTGCCTCTGCCTCCCGAGTGCTGGGATTAAAGGCGTGCGCCACCACGCCCGGCCCCACCTAGTGTCTTAAAACAGGTATTTATTATTTAAGGTCTCAAATATACCTGCATTAAACAAATTATGTTGTTTTTAAAAATGTTGCAACACCTTGTCATCTATTCACAAATATATTTTACGTCTGTAGTTATTACAGTTTGAACATGTTTAAAGCAAGTCCTGCAGACAACTCTTAGCTCAGCTAGCAATACTGTGCTGTTAGTTCACACAAATGACTGCAGGAACTCTTTCTCCTAGTTCATGGAGGACCTTCTCTAAGGCCCATGGCAAACGCCACTCACTTCATTTTACAGATGGAAGAGTTCAGATGATGCATAATTGGGTAACTGTCCTAGTAACTAGAGTAATCACATTTTCCATTTGCTTTTAAAGTTTTGTTTGTACAGCTCTGTGTGTGTGTGTGTGTGTGTGTGTGTGTGTATGTGTGTATGTAAGGATATAACTTTTACAGTTCTTTCAACAAAGTGACTCTCCTGCGAATCAGATTCTTATTCTAAAAGAACTGTAAGATATAGGGCACCCCAATTTTATTAATCATCAAAATAGCCTTGAGGTGTGCTCAGTACTTCAGAATTGCTCACAGACAGACCACTTCTTAATTTTCTTAATTCCCAGGGTTCAAATGATTGTCTCAAATGGAAAAATCCTAAGAGAAGCTCGAGACCCCTCTCCATAAACATTGGTTCCTAACTGTTGCCTTTTTAGAAGTAGAACAAACATTTTAGGTTCAGCTGGTCCTGAAACCACGGGGAGTAACTCAGTGTAACTCTTCAGTATTCAGACAAGCTATTCCATTTTCCTTAGGAAGTTCAGCCATTGAGTGAAATTACAGACTTAACCAAGCCACCTTATACTTCAAGTCTCTGATAAAGCTCGCCAGGATAAAGACTCTCTGGATGACAGACAAAACAGAAACCACACCAAATTTCTGATTTATTTTTAAGCACTCCCCTCTCCAAAAAATATGCTCATCTTTGGAGTCCTAGCAACTTTTCCTCTTACTATACGAGTTCTCTGAAGGGAGCCACAGCCCACGGCATCTTCACATTATCCATACATGTGGAGTAACTTACATTTGGGACTGGGCGTCAGCATGGCCAGCCTAGGTCCATCCTAGTGTCTCTGATATCAAATCAAATCCTATCTCTGGGTTAGTTGGCTGCTGGTGGGGGCTTGATGGAGGGAATACTACATGATCTTCGCATGATAAGCCTGACTTCGATGTCGGGCAGATTCTCCCGTCTGCTCGGTAAACAGCCTTCATCAGTGGCTGCCAAATGGAGGTCAAAGCGAAGAGAGACAGACTTTTTCCTCAATCGGGGGTTGTCTTTAAAGAATGAACCTTCCCATTCTTTTATAACTTCATCCACTTTCTCTGTCCTGAAATGAGAAAATAAACTTTTTTTTTTATAGAAGAAGAAATAGACACAAAGTATAGTTCATATTTATGAAAAATATGTATAATGTATGCGTTGTGGGGTTTTTAACAATTTAGCTTTGTTTATTTTATTTTATGTGTGTGTTTTGTCTGCATGTATGTATGTGTACCAAGTGGTACATGCCTGGTGCCCACAGAGGTCAGAAGAGGACATCAGATGCTCTGGAACTGGAGTAGTGTATGATTGAGAAACACCAGGTGCTCTTTATTACAGCCATCTCTCCATACCCAGGTTGTGGAATTTCTAACTGACACATATAACTTTAACAATCATAAGAATATAATCTTCAGCTGGGCAGTGGTGGCGCACGCCTTTAATCCCAGCACTCAGGAGGCAGAGCCAGGCGGATCTCTGTGAGTTTGAGGCCAGCCTGGGCTACCAAGTGAGCCCCAGGAAAGGCACAAAGCTACACAGAGAAACCCTGTCTCAAAAAACCAAAAAAAAAAAAAAAAAAAAAAAAATTTAATATGGATTTCTGTGGAATTTCTACACAATTCTTGTATTTTTATTTTTTTGAGATGGGGTCTTGCTATATAGCCCTGGCATTCCTGGAACTCACTATGTAGACCAGGTAGGCCTCGAACTCACAGAGATCCACCTGCCTCTTCCTCTCCAGTGCTGGGATTCTACACAATTCTTATGTTCTGATTTTAGTTTTAGAAAAAAAAGGTGAATTATTTTCACACTCTTATTTGTGTTATTATGTGTGTATACTCGTGTCTGCCTGAGAAATCACAGTATACTGAAAGTATTTGAAATACTTGAAAAAGACTGCTCAGATTTGCTCGACTGAGGTGAATTTCATCATGTTTAGTAGTGTTTCATAGTCCAAGCTGTTTCACTTACTGAATGGTGCCGTGAGCCTCTGCACTCTCCTCCACACTTCCATTCAATTCTGGCTGTTTGGTCATTGTCTCCACATTTTCATTCTCATACTTGTGTGAGACTTTCGTTGAAAAAGATATTTCATTTATAATGGCTGTGAAAATGTTACATTAAATCACAACGTTGAAAAAGAAAAGGAAAACGAAGTACGTTAGTGTGTGTGTGTAGGGGGAAAATCACAACATTGAAGTCCTAAAATTCCTTCTCTTGCTGCTTTGGAGAAGTTTCTGTATAATCTCCACAAATAACATGACTATTTTCAAATTAGTTTATTGGGTCAGAAACTCACCGGAGGGGAGAAGAAAGCCAACTTTACTCCTGGTAGTAGGTTTTTCTTCTTTTTTCTCGCCTTGGATACAACCATAGTATCTGAAACGGAAAGAGTCATAGAAACAACATTGTAGTAGCAAAAAACAAAAACAAAAACAAAACAAAACAAAACAAAACAAAAACAAACAAACGAAAAGAAAACAGACAAGAGAATGGGTAAGTTGTTACATTCACACAATGGGAATACTATTAAGCATTGACAGTGATGAATGAGGCCATGCAGCGTCTCTGTCAGTGAATCTCCCAGACACAAGGAAGAGCGGAGGAAAACTGGGAACTAGCTTTATAAGGGTTAAAACAATACACAGACCAATTTTCTACATTGTATAGATAGGCATCTATATTACCAAAAGAGCTGTGTGAGACTAGTAAGTATCAATTAGGAGTCAGCCTGGGGGGCGGGGCATGGGGGCGGGGAGCATGGAGGGCGGGGTTTAGATGACCAGAAAATAAAACATCTTAAACTGGAGCAACTAGAAGTATGTTAACACTTAGGATTTCAAAAGTCATAGGAATGCAATGTATAATACTTAATATCATTGTTCACTATATTTTCTGGTTTTTGTGTAATAACATTGTTCATTTGTATTCTCCTGTATTTATATCTTAAATATAATAATACAAATTTAGAAAACTAGAAAAATTTTTAAAAACCAATTTGTCAATATCTCAAATGATTAGGAATGAACATCTATGGTCATTATTTAATCATATATTACATTCACACCATATATAAAATCATGTATTTTTCACAGAGCACAATGTGCTGGACAGTGCTTTAAGCACTTCACAAGTGTTAATTCATTAGATTCTCACAGTAATCTTGTGATGCAGATAATATTATTCCCATTTTGCTGATGAGAAAACTGAAGCACAGAGAAGTTAAGTAGCTTGTCCAAGGTCACTCAGCTAGTAAGTGGTATATTTTGAATTCAATTTATTAAGCCAAGGCTTATCACAGGCTAAACTTATTCCATCTGGTTTTGCAGAAGACTCAGAATTCTGAAACAAGCAAGAACAAAGATTTATTGTTTTTTTTTTTTTTT